ACCGGCCCTGCAGGGCCTTTCAACCAACAAGTCCCCTTGCGGGTCACACACACACTCAGCCGACAAGCACTCAGACAGGCATGCAAACCAGCAGGCACGCACACACACACAGACATGGAAACCACAGCAGAATGCGGGAATCTCAGCAAGGCATTCATTCCAGCGGCAAATCCCAGAAATCAACAGTGTTCTCAGTCTGTGTTTTTGGCGGGTCATTACAGTTGCAAAATCACGAAGTAGTCCAGATAGTCATGTACCAAGCAGAGAGCACAGTGCACCAAGATACCATCCAAATAAGAGCAATACAATGAACTCGTATGTTAATGTCGACGCTCTCTGGCCACACCAACACAGTATCCAATGCCGCTCCTACTGTCTGGCGCCCAGTGCCCAGCCTATACTACTCAGCCTATCTACCCCTATCTATGTTCATGCAACTGGATCACATCGAAGTTGAAGACGACTGTACTTGACGTCATGACCGATGTTGACCGCGAGCATACACCAGGTACGTTCTCTCTCCTCCCCTAATCCCACCTTGACTCCCCTTTGCGTGCGGCTCCTACCCGAAGACACCATTACCATCACCCGCCACCGCATGCTCGGCCCGGCTATGGCTGCCATGTGCCCGCTGCCACTGCAGCGCCCTCTCACCTCTTGCGCCCGCGTAGGCCTTGGCCTCCCTGCTGAGCGCAGCTTCGCATGGCGTAGCAGCAGCGTGGCCGCATTGCCTGCTCAGGCCAGAATGCCTCTGCCAGGCAGGGCACTTTCCTTTATGGAAAGTGCGACCCTGTGTTCAGCTGCTTGGGCCTGGCTGGACTAGTTTCCAGTAGCTTACAGTTGGGCCCCAGTGTCTACGCCCAGGCCCACCTTTGCTGTTACGGGCCTGGGCCCTTTACAGTTGGGCACATCCAGGCAGCCCTCCCGGCTCCACGATTTGCATGTGTCACGACAATGCTGCATTCTCATTGGCCTGCGGCCAGTCCGTGATGTGTCGGCCTCCCACAGCCTGTACTCAGGGCGCAACCGCCTGAGCCCTGGGCTCAACTGTACAGCGCAGCTCTTGCTTCTGGAAGGAGCCTCCGAAGGCTCACGTTGCTCGGTAACCAACTGGTGTGCTGCAACCCTCTGATACTCCACATATGGAAAATGTTAAAAGTAGGTCTCACGTGGAAATTCAGGCCCGTCTTCACTTAGGGCGGGCACAATGCTTGCTGGGGGCCACGGCCCAGAACACTTGCATGTCTGTAAAGGCCCCGTGAGGGCTCAGTTCTCGCAATGGTAACCGGCTGAATGGCAGGATGAAGATGTGGACTGACGGGATCAGGGATCCAGATGTCCGGGTCTTTTGTCTAGCCTGGAACGTCCGGATTGGCGCCCCAGCCAAGGAATGTTTTTTTTTGTAAGGGGCCACCTGGGACTATGATTTTTTTTTTTTTTTTATAAAACAGGACCTTACGATCCTGGCTCCTTTTCCATTCTGGGGAGCGTCAGTCCGGTTCCTATTCCACCGGCAAGTCTGAATACACATTACATTACAACAATAACGCACTCACGCTTCCTTCCGTCTGGCCGAAGGACCCCTGAACACCGTTGATTACTCCAACGTAGTGGAGGATTGACTGTCAGCTTGCCCTGCTTTTCTCTTTCCTCTCAGGTCTGTTAGCTAACCTGTCAGATATATCGTGAAAAACTAGAAAGAGCTAAGCAGCTACTCAAGCTGACCCTTGTAAGTTGTAACCCCTCCTTGAAAACCTGCCCGTATGCCTCAAAACCGTCTTGCCTCTCCGTAAATCTATTTACAAAGCGGTCCCAAAACCCTAAACCCTAAACCCTCCTTTGGAAGTTTTGCATGGAATCCTCCGAACCATCTTAGCCCGTCAGCTCATATGGCCTGCAGTGAGACTCGTTCATTTGGTACCTGGAGCACTTGTCTTTCCACCCCGTATCAGAATTTAGCCGCTCTTTCCCAAGCATGCTCGAAAAGTGGTAGTGTGAATCCTGGGGCCCTGTAGGTCCTTCCAGACCGGGCCGGGCACAATTTAAAAAGGAACCCGCATAGTATCTCAGATGTCCATCATAGAAATGGTAATTGAGGAGACTACCGTCTTCCCCTGAATAGAATGTACCGCCATTATAGCTGTATATGGAGGAACGTTCAGTCGAGATACAGCGATAATGACTGTACGTCCTATTCGGGTGAAGACGGTAGCTTCACACAGGGGACGTCTCCCCTCAATCAGGATGCTTGAGGTCAGTGAGGTGGTAGAGAATAAAACGTCAAATCTTGGTTCTCTGAAGATTTGACCGTTGAAAAGTCAGATGCAATCCACCACTGTCTCTCATACGTGCTTCGTTGAAAAACTAAACAAGTAGACTAGCTTCAGACAGGGGATGTCTCTCGGTAATCGCACTGCATGAAGGGGTAGGCGTAAAAAGATGACTCCATTCGCCATTCAGATCTTGATTCTCTGAAGGTTTCACCATTCAAAATTAACAAGTTAAGAAATTGCGTTACGTCATCGAGAACTATCAACACGATTCAACAGCATCTCGAGCAATACTCAGATGAATTGGGCAGGTGAATGCTCTATAGAAGCAGGTGATTCTCTGAAGATTTGACCGTTGAAAGTTCAAATGTAATCCAAAGTGGGATTTCGAGACATACAGAGTTAATGAAACAGTTTTGGAAGAGCTTTATAAATGAAAGACTTACCTTTGAAAAACTGTTGTTAATGCTCCTCTCGAGTTCAATGACAAGGTGAGCGACCTTTTAAGAATCCATAGCAAACCTCCCTCCCTCCCTCCCTCCTTCCCTCTCTCTCTCTCTCTCTCTCTCTCTCTCTCTCTCTCTCTCTCTCTCTCTCTCTCTCTCTCTCTCTCTCTCTCTCTCTCTCT